GTTAGTTTTACCTTCAAAATATATCCAGAATCTAAATACTACCCATCACATATTACTGCAGTAGCCTCCTAACACTTCTCCCTAACACCCCCATTGCCCTCGCTCTACCTATTCTCCAAATAGCAGACATCAGATCATGTCATGCATCAGCTTAGGGCCCTCCAAAAGCTTTCCTTTCACTTAGAGTGATAGCCATATTCTACAGAGGCCTGCGATCCTCCTCAGACCTCTATGACCATGTCATCAATCCTGTCCCTGTCACAGTACACTCCTTCAGTCACACTAGCTTTCTGGACATTCCTAGAACCATCAGACACAGTCACTTTCCATGACCTGCTCCTCTAGGAAAGCCAAGACTCCCTTCCTGCCTCCTTCATTCTTTGCCCTTGCACCTTTGTCAACGAGACCTTCTTTGGCAGTCCCTTTAAAAAACTGCACACACATACCAGCACGTCTCATCATCCTTCCCATTTTTATTTTTCTCTGTAGTATTTATCACCTTATAATATTCTCTAAAATGTTATTCATTATCTATCTTCTTTCCAAAGGTAAACTTCCTGAATCCAGGGTTGTTGCTTTTGAATTGTTTTTTTTTTTTGTTTGTTTTTTTGCATTTATATCTCCTCAACACATAGAACACTGCCTGATACATGATAAGTAATAAGTATTTGTTAAATAAATGAATCTATGATAAAAATGTTAGCCAGTTCTTTCTGTGTGTGTGACTTACTAACTACTAAGTTATGACACAGCTTTTGGGAAACGTCTTGCCTAGTGACTTGCATTTAAATAGGAAACATGGGCCATAGGGGTAGGGCAAGGTAGGTCAGATAGACCCGGGTTTATAAACCTCCACTGCTTACAACATATGACCTGGTGAGTTATATAATCTCCCGGCCTTAGTTTCCTCATGTGTAAAATGGGAATAGTAAAAGTTCCTTTCCTATGGAGTAGTCATAAAATCTTAAGCTTATGAACATAACATAATGTTAGGCTTATAATAATATAAAACCCAGTAAATGTTTGCAATCCTACCTAATAAAAGAGAAACATGCAAATTGACCGCACCTTCACTACGCCCACAAGCCACACCCACCAGCCAATCAGGGCAACTATGCAAATTAGCCCAACCTATTTGGCCATTAATTTGTATATCCAGGCTGGAGCCAAGTCTGAAATCAAACACTGCAAAAGGGAGCGAAGCTGTGGAGAAGCAAGCAAATGGGGCTGTGGAGAAGGGAGGAAAGCTGGCAGGGCAGCGACTGCAGCAGGAAGCCCACTGTAGGAATCTTCCTGCAATGGACCTCTAGTTATTTTAATAATAAGCATTATGATTGCTCTTTATTTGCTATTTTTTTAATAAAATATTTTACAAATGTTTACTCTTTTGAATAGATTTAACTCAAAATGTGAGTTATTCCCTATTATTTTTTGCACTTTAAGGCACATTTTTATGTTTTGAATATTTTTGCTTAAAAAGATAATTACTTAAAGCTCTTATTTATTGATGCCCTGCTGATGTGCCAAACATTCTGCTAGTTATATTCTAAGTATTATCTCTGCAAAGAGCCATTACTATCACTACTTTTCACATAAGGGAACAGGCCCAGGATCGTGTTCAATCCCAGTTTGTTTAGCTTCTGAAATTTAGGCCTTTCCCCCTAGACCACTGGCCTCTCACTTTGAACCTTACAGCCTTGCCCGGTGCTCTTGGAAGTACATGGAGTGTTTGAGGATTTGAAAAGTGTGGTGTAGCTCAAGGGAGGGGCTGTAAAGATCTTGAGATTGGAAATAACGCTGAAAGGCTATCTCCCATGCCACACAATGTGGATTTTAACCTGTAAGCTCTGGAAAGACATCAAAGGTATTAAACTTGAAAATAAAGTTTCAGAGAAGAGTAAAATGGCAGCATTTTCCAGGATTATTCTTGTCACTGACCAGAGTTCAGTCTTTCAGAAGACTGTAAGCACCTTAAAAATGATGGGTTTTAGATTGAGAAAAATCAGTGTAAATTAAAGCCATGTTAAGTAGGAATTTGGTCTATCTTAGGCAAAGACTCTCTTAAAAAGATGTAAGTACCATTATATTCCACAGAGTGTCTACTGACATGGCCTCTTAAAAATTATATTGCTTACCCATTTCAAGTTATAAGGTAAGTGCAGATAGGAAAATATTTTTTTTATAATGATAGCATGCCCCTGGAAATTAGAATAGCAAACTGACTAAGAAGTGGCATCAGTAGGTGCTCAAACTATTATTTTGGTCTCTTTTACTTTAACACCTTTATTCTAATAGAAAAGAGTGACAGAGAGTTAAGTAATGTGATTATAGATGACTAATATTGGTTTTCCCTAGGAATCGTTCTGAGAAATAATCAACTAAGAAAATGTGAATAGCCACTGCCTTGTAGGAGAGAGTTAGATAAATGTATTTGTTTCCTAAAAAGATATGGGAAGTGTTAAATATTAAGAACAGATTTTGTTTCTTTAAGATCATTTAGCCCTAACCGTTTCGGCTCAGTGAGTAGAGCATCAGCCTGCAGACTGAAGGGTTCCAAGTTCAATTCCGGTCAAGGGCATGCACCTTGGTTGAAGGCACATTCCAATAGAGAGTGTGCAGGAGGCAGCTGATCAATGTTTCTCTTTCATCGATGTTTCTAACTCTCTCCCTCTCTACCTTCCTCTCTGTAAAATATCAATAAAATATATATATATTTTTTTAAAAGATCTTTTAGCCAATCACTATCTCCAGATCTCTTTTTGTCAGCAAATAAAGATACAGTAACAAAGAAGGTAGTGATTAAAAAGAATTTCCATGAGGTAAACTGAAAGAATAGAAAATGTTGTACACAACTGAATATAATTCCTGTGGGGGGGAAAATCAAGTGAAGATTTCCACCTCTACTTGTCTATGTTTAAAGTATCTTTTTCTCCATAGATATTGGTCTGTGGAGTTAATTCTTGTGTTTTGCTATTGGATAGGTGGTACAGTTTTGATTGAATCTATTGCATATTGTTGATCACTTGAGGGCAAGTGAAACTGAGTGAAGTGACTTGGAAGAGAAATTGAAGTAAAACAAGTGAAAATGGAACAAAAATACCCCAAACTGCTATTCTTATATAATTTTTTACTGGATTAAGATTAACATTAATGTATGAGAAAAATTCAAAGGAGATCCAAGAAAGAGTATGAATTATACTTGTCTTTTAAGTCTGTGCTTCCAAAGCTAATTATTTAAAGTCTTGTCTAAAGTGAAGTAGTAACTCTTTTGACAAGGAATTCTGTCATAAACATGGCTTTAACTTTCTCTCTCATTGTTATAGTAGATATGTTTAACCTTCCAACACTTTTTTTCCCTTTCAACACTTTTATAAACTATTTGAGGTTGTAGTTTATATTCTCTGCTCTTTTGTTTATACTATAGTCAGTACTCACAAAACTAGATGGTATAAGCCTTAAGAATAAGAAAGGCTTTGAGAATTGTTTGAATGGAATTTTTATTGTTGTTCATGTGCCAAATAAAACTTATTACAATGTGTTTTAATAAATAAAATATTATTTTTAATACAATTCTCCATGGTGTGTGACTATGGTTGCAGGTAGGGCAAAAGGAATAAAATTGAGAGAAAAAGATAACATGCTAAACCACAGGTAAAATTTGCACCAGACATTGAAGACTTTCAGACATCTAGTCTTTATTGAAAATTATTAGCAAGACCAAAAATTGAGAAGACTACCATAATGTTAAATTATGCAATTATCCTGGGATATATGAGACCACTGAACAAACACACATATACTAAATATATTTTTAATATAAAATTAAATTAAAGGTGAGTCAACATTTGTATGGCTCATTTTAAGAATTATAACATGAAAAGTAAATAACTTGCTGTGTGGGAATACATAGCTTATCTGTCACTGATAGCTAATGAATTCTTTCCTATTAAAATTTAATTGAAAATCTTCACTGATATTTAAGCTTTCACAGAAGTGTAAACTACTGTGACTACAATTCACAATTCATTTAAAACAATTATTCTTTATCATTAAAGTTAATAATATTCACATTAACCTCTTATGTAGTCTAAATCAATATTGTAGTTTAAAAACTATGACCTCTGAACAGCTTTGTCCAAATATTGATTTCATTGTCATTTGTATAAGTTATCAAACAAATTACATGCTGCAGTAATATCATGAATGCTGCCCCCATAGAGCCTCTGACTTTATGGGTTCTTATAATACAGCTCGTGACATTACAAAATATTGAGGACATCACATAATATAATTGCTGAATGGACGATATTTAACTGTGGAAGAACAGACTTTCTGTAAACAAATAACTTCCAAATCCTTTACTCTCAGTGGACAAAAGAGAAAAGAAAATACTGCTCTTTACAATGTGGATTGGTTGTTGAGGATAAGTTTCAAATAACCAATTTTTTTTTTCTTCCTCAGAGGTGTCTAATTTACCTTCTTGTGATGCCTTAGATATTTTAGAAGAGAATATTAACTTGGATTAAAATGTTATAATTCTGAAATATAACAGTTTTCCCCAAATCAACTTGTTTAGAATGTCTGTTACAAGTTACAAGTTAGTCAGATGAGTTGAAAAACATATGGATAAAAAGAGAGGGCCTGAACCTTTCAAGTGATTGCTATCGAATTAAATAAACACTGACATAGGGATGGACATGCATCATAATTAGCCATTATATTATTATTTTTGTAAAAAATTATAAATTGAAATACTATCTGTTGTACAAGTTGCTTTTTTTCTTTTTTTTTTTTCTTTTCTGGTTCTAAATCTCATTGAGTCACAATTGTTAACATCATCCAATTACAACTAACTGTATTTTGATGTCATTTTAATTTTTTTTTAATTGTGCTTTTTGTTTTCTATAAAAATATTTTTAAAAGAGATGTAGTCATGATTATTACACTCTGAGCTGTGGGTGCTATTTATACTAAAAATGTTTCCCCCAAACCTCTTGTAGGGAAAAGTGACCCATTTTGTGTAGTGGAACTGAACAATGATAGGCTTCTCACACATACTGTCTACAAAAATCTCAATCCTGAGTGGAACAAAGTCTTCACATTGTAAGTAGTAATTGCTTTGAGCTCATTTCAAAAATGGTGCTAAATGATATTTATTTTTGAGATTTTGTGAGTGTATTTATTTATTCTTAACCGATTAGCAGCTCAGTGCATCTGGGCTGCCTTTGCTGGCAACAATAAATATCATAATTGCGTCACTGTCCTGATAGTGAAACCTGGGGAAAGGGTTTGCCATTTTTCTTTGTTTTCACAGATTTTTTTAAAACTGTGCTTTCTATATGATTTGGCTAAGGATTTAGCTCCCCTTAACTGAATTGCCATACTGCTTCTTCCTTTTATACTTTCTATTGAAATTCTCCTGGATTGCACTGACACCAAGGAGGACAAAGCTCTATTTGTTCCATTGCTCAAATCACCAAACAATCCTGTCTCCAATTCATCAGATGCTTTAGTTTTGGTTTGTTGCATTTTAGCACAATAAGAATATTAAGTATTGGTCTAGGTACCAAAACACCCTATGAGTTAATTTTCCTTTTGTTTCAAAAAGTTTATAAGCGATTCTGATCATGTACTGTGAAAGCTGTCAATGCTACATTATAGTATCCCCTAAATTCACTGTTGTTGTTGTTCCTAAACTGGGCTTTTAAACTGAACAAAGGAAAACGCCAAAAGAAGTGCTTCTTAAAAGTTTTCTAGCATAGGGTGTGTGTGTTTTTTTTGTATTTGAAAAATTGCTAAATTTCTTACTAATGTCTTATAATGTCTCTGCTTAAGAACCAGTAACTAATCAAATTTAATTATCTGACCAATTTATCTTTAAGGAATTCCTCATTTTTATAAAAGATGAAAGCCCTGGTCAGGAGACTTGTAGTCCTAAGAAGGTTGTGGAGAGTGTTTTTCTCTGGAATGCATAATTTAATGAATAGGTTTGATGATTATCAAAGCCATTAATTGATTGTGCCCTGATAAAGCCTTTTCTCACATGTGGTTGCAGTCTTTCAGTAATGAATATATTCATTTTTTGTCTTCTCTTAATTCATGTTTTCTTGGTAAACAGTTTGATCAAAGAATAAATGCTGTCAACAATTGGAAGCTTATTTTTCCAGAAACAAAAATATGAAGAGCTTGCACAGTTGTTTATTAACAAATGTTGTCTTTGGAACATAATGGAACACTACTTAATTTCTAAATCCTAGGGTGGTACAGTGGCTATCAATGCTATATTTTCTCTATTCTGTTTTCTGTGTTAGTTAATTTTTACCATAAATCCAACAGCAATAACTCAATGTTTTCATGAGAGCTGTAAACAAAAAGCTGTGCAATTATAATTAAAAAGAACACAAAATTATATTAACTATACTGTTACTCTTGCTAATATCAAACCTGGTGGTATTTTATGTAGAGTAATAGGAAGATAGAAAGTATTATAATAATGAGAAGAAATAAAAGTCTAAAAATATCAGTGCCACTTATTGGTGGTTTGTTGTAGTTTTTATAATAATTTATTCTGTGACCAACCAGGTGGAAAATTATATTTCATTAAAGAATTATAACTTGAAATTATGCTGGTGCTCAAAATTCCAGATAATAGGACCATCATTGTAGTCTACTAAGGTGCATTGTGGGAAATTCTGTCACATACCAAACTACCTTGTGTATGTGTGTATGCAAATAGCATACATAAAAACATATGCACACACAAAATCAGCTGGAGCTATCTAAATTTTCAAAAGCATTTTTATTCTTGTTCTCTACTGATGAAGTCTTTTTCCCTGATGTATGTTTATTATGCAGCAACATTAAAGATATCCATTCAGTTCTTGAAGTGACAGTTTATGATGAAGATCGGGATCGAAGTGCTGACTTCCTGGGCAAAGTTGCTATACCATTGCTGTCTGTAAGTTTTATGCACCTGACACACTGCTCTATGTTGCTTTTGCTCAAGGAGGAAAAAAAAAAAACCCGTCAGCTCTATATCTGTCATTTCTCAACCAAGGTCTGTAATAAGAACACTAAAAATTTTAACATACTCAATTCACGGCCATGTTGAATCCCATGATAGTTAATTTTTCCTGACAGACTTGATCCTGGTAATGAACAGGTACTTGTCAGAATTGCCACAGTTGTTTTGGGTTCTCTGTCAGTTTCAGCAGCTGGGGGTCAAAGGTCACCGAGGGAGTGTATTCAGTGGAGACCGTGAGACAGACGGCTGTCATGTCCTTTTCCCGCAGATTCAAAATGGTGAACAGAAAGCCTACGTCTTGAAAAACAAGCAGCTGACAGGGCCAACAAAGGGGGTCATCTATCTTGAAATAGATGTGATTTTTAATGCTGTAAGTCTTAACTTTGGCTTTTTTGTACTGCTAAAGAGTTCAGTTTCATGAAAGCTTTTGTTCCTGATTTGTAGAGAATTTCTGTCATTCCTCATTTTCTCTAAACCTTGATGTATCCTGGAGAATACGCTTCTGCCACTGCCTGGCACACCCACACTTTCTGTTATCGTTGGCGGCTGCTGCTGTGGCTGGACTCCGGCCGCTGCCTGCCTGCGTAAGCAATGTGCGTGCATGTGCCACTGTATACATTTATATTTTATGAGCACAGCAGCCAGGCCTTTGAAACTTCAGAAACTATCGCAAATTGAACTGCATGAAAAACCTGTAAACATTTGTACTATATTCATCCATAACAGACACATTATGTTGATGTATAGGTGAAAGCCAGCTTACGAACATTAATACCCAAAGAGCAGAAGTACATTGAAGAGGAAAACAGACTCTCTAAACAGGTAAAAAGCGAGGAAAGATTAATCCCTCTGGGAAGACCTGATTAATCTGTAAAACATCTAACTAAATTCACATAAACTTTGGAGGTGTGGAGGTGGGGACTATATAATTTTTTAACATCTACTTATGTGAAATGGCTCTTTCTTTTTTTTCCTTTTTTTTCCTTTTTCTCTCTTCCCTTCCTTTCCTTAAATGATCAAACAAGGGCAATACCAAACTAATAAGTGGGATGGGGGTGGTCAAAAAGGAAAGGGGATACTGTAGACACTGCATAGAATGGATATGTATTTATGCAATAGCAAAAGAATGATCATTTTGAACATAAAATACAATTTGATTGCCATGGAATGTGTAAGTGAGAACACCAAAAGCTAAGGTTCAAATATATATCCAGACCACCCACAGGTACAGCGCAGGTGTGTGTAAAGCGAGCCCCGCATAAAGCTCTTCCTTCTAATCCACAGAGAGGGGGCTCCATCTTTTAAGGGAAAGCTTCTTAATTAGATTTTGACTATGATCTTTTTGAAGTGAACTTTTATTGACATTTTTAGCTGAGAAAATAGAAAATCAGGGATTCTGGTTTTTCTGTCATGAGGAAATTTTAAATTAGGCTTGATAGCTTGTAATAGACTTACAATTTTAAATCAGGTTTGAATCTTTAAGAAAAAGTACTAAGAGACTCCTTTAAAAATGTTTATTTTTAATTAACACAGCTAAAATAAAATGAATGTCATATGTCTATAAAGTTTGCAGAACTTATTTGTGTGTTAAAATATTTAATAATTTCTTGTGCTATTAGAAGACAAGAAATTTTTATTTTTAATCAAATCAATCACCATAGACAGTGGGATTTTAGGTTGTTTAAAGACAATGTATGAGACAAATTCAATATCTATCTAAATAGAAATACAGATTATATTTTCCATAATTATAGATAAAATTTATAAAAGTACCTCTTAAAGTAACTGATCATGAGCCCTGAAGGAAAACAAGTAGGGAGACTCTTAAATCTGACTGAAAGGAATTTGAATTTGTGTAACTTATTAAAGCTGATATATATGTACTTGCATCTCTATTTACACATATATATTTTTCCAGATGGCCTCAGTAAACTTTACATTGCTACTTTGAAATGCCAGATCAGCATTGAAGTATATTTGGAAGTAACAAAATATTAACCTACATACATATTATTCTAATTATTAACATAGCTGTAAATAAATCTTTGAACAACATCTAGTATATGGGCTGTTCTTTTTATAATTATAGTCATGCCTTAATTTAAAATTTTAATTATATTAATTCTTATATATCTATTTTAGTAAAAGATTTTGTAAAGCATTTGGTTACCATAAAATTTTCCCTAACTCCAAAATTATGAGAATATATAGGTTAAATATATTGTAAAAAAAAAAAGAGAAAGATAGAGATAGGAAAGAGGGAGGAAAAGAGAGAAAAATGAGGATATGGTAGTAAGAAAAGGAGAATCCTACTACAATGGTAGGGGGAAAAGTGTTTTCTATAATAAAGCAATATTTGGCAGGATTTTTCTCTAAGACTCTAAATAAAAAATTCCAAATTATCCATTTCACTTTGAAATAGCCTGAAATTAAAGCACTTAAAGAATCTTTAAATCTCAGTAAGATTTAAGAGCTTAACAATATATTTAAGGTTTGCAGTAAGTAGCAAAAAAATGTTTTGAATCCTTTGGAGATTTTTTTTTTTTGAACAAAGGTAGTCCATCCTACCTGATAATATTATTTAAAGAAATATATTGAGGAAATTGCTCTTATAACTCAGTTTTTCCCCCCACTTCCTCCAGAAATACTTCTTTTCCTTTTAACTCATGAGCCAAACTGCTTGGTATATTCTTACAACTTTATTAACTTTCTGAATCCTTTGGAAATCACAGTAAGCTTGAAGACTTTGCAACATCTCTGATGGTTTTTGGTCCTGTGAATTCTAATACTATTTCATCTTCATTACAGATGTTACTAAGAAACTTTATCAGGACGAAGCGCTGTGTCATGGTGCTTATAAATGCTGCATACTACGTTAATAGTTGCTTTGATTGGGACTCACCCCCAAGGAGCCTTGCTGCTTTTGTGGTATGATCATACTGTATTACTTACATCGTTATTCATTCAATTCAGTAATCATAGCTGCATGTCTCTGTGGCTATAGTAACAGTTATGTTGATGTGACCATTTTAAAAATCCTATTTTAAGACTTGACTGGACAGATTTGCTGTGGGCAGAACCTGATGGATTGTGCAAGGTCTGAGTCCAAGAATATAGCCTTCCCCCTCCTTCCCCCCAGACTTCCGGAACACAAGACATCTCCGCTGCCAATGTATAATTTTCTCCATGACAGCTAAAAAGTGAAATTTTATATATTGCGTAATCCAAAATCCTAATAGCAGAACCAAGAAAAGTCCTTGGTGTTAAAAAAATATATATATATATAATTTTGACCATGCTCATTTTTAATTGTATTCATTCTATAGATATAAGTTTTTTTTTTCTCAAAATATGGAATGATTGACAGTAGAATGCTAGCTGGAAATACTTTAATATGTGGATCAATTGGAACTGGATGTGACCTATGTAGGTGGCATTTTATTATTCCTGAGATTTCCAGTTTTCACAAAGGCACCAGTGAGAATTTGATAAATCCAAATAGTCCTCTAAAATGTTCATCTTGTAGCCTTTTACTTTTGGTTATTTAATAACTGCTGAGGAGGCCAACTTGCAAAGCTAGAAAATCCAAAAAATACTTTCCTCTGAGCTTTAGCTGGAATTTTCTGCTTTCATATTATTTTTGCTTGTTCAGGATTTCAGTTTGAAGTTTAAGCGAAGCCCTTCTTTTGAGATCCTTTATTTTATTGTCACATTTGTTAGAATATGAAGACCGTATGCTTCCTTATAGATGCCAGTTTAGCAGAATATGACTTTATTATGGGATTTACATGAAGAGCCTTAATTATATAGTAACAAATCAACATTTTAGTATTACCATTCAAATGAGTATGTGCACATCTGTTTAGTACTGTGAGCTCTGTCCTCCTTTCAGGCCTTGTATGGGACTTTCATTAATGTCTGAGCACATGGGACAAAGAGTGTGTATGTCCCTTTATGTTGTAAGTTACCAGAAAGTTAGGCAGCCTGCTTTCCATAGACATGTTGTCTTTTTGAAGAAAGAGATTGTCATCATCGTTAAGTTTTAGAAAGGAAACTGCTCTTTCAATATTCTTTTATTTAGTTCTTTCACAGATAAAGTACATGGGGGATACTGCTAAGCAAACTTAATTGTGATTTTTCACTATCATAGAGGTACTTTGACATAAATGAGGGAAAATGACATTGAGTTTCTTTGTTTATTTTAGGCTATTGTGTGCAAGTTCCATGGCACCTCATCAGAGACACAATATTCTAACAAAATATCATGCTGCTATCTGTGATTCACTCCTTCCAAAGTCATTCCCCCATAGCTGTTTACAAAATTGGAAGATAGAGAACGCTACGTTATTATGTAATTTGTTGAGGAACATTCCCCTTTAACACTTCAGCATGTGTTTTGTAAATCACCAGAAAAATTCATTTGGCTTCTAGGTGCAGTGATTCAAGATGGCAGACTTTGTTCAAAACTTCTTTATGATTAAAAAAAAAAAAAATCAGGCACCAAAATTCTGAGGAACTTGGGTATATGTACATGATAATACTTGAGTGATTTCACTGAAAGAGGGTCAAAGTTCACTGCATAAGAAATGTAATATCTCTTTTAGCCAGTGATCAGCTTGTGAAGCAAGCTGAATGCAGGATGCTTGCAAAAAAAGGGAGGGAGGGCACAGTAAACGTAGGAAATGGAACTGCTGATGATGATAAAAATAAAAAAAGGCCAAACTCATATGTGAATGCACAGTAAGAGTACTTTTGAGAAGAAACAATAATATTAACTGTTTCATTTTAAGAAAATAAAAAGCGCTGAATTACATTCTGTTGAATGTGATGAAAACAACTAATAATGAAACCAAACTTCACTTATCAAGATCTGAACTGAGGGTTCCACGAAAATGGGCACCCTGCCCTTTTCACCCGTACTCCACCGTCACCTATGGAGAATCTCGCAATTAATAGGCTCCCATTATAAACGGCTGTCTAAATCAACCGACCAACCAATGATCCAGTATGAAAATGTTTCTTATGTGGAGAAACGCTTTATTCAGTGATGCCAGATAAATAAGGGTTTGCTCTAATAAAGCTACTTATTAAATGATGAAAGACATAGATAGCTTCATGGTGCTGTAGCAATTTTCCCTAGACCGTCCATTTATCTTTTAAACTATCTTATAATCTATCAATCATCTATTTTTAACCTCAGATCTAACTCTGTTTCAAAAAGATCCTTATGTAATAGTAACAACTAATATTTATTAAACATTTATGTGCCAGGGAACTGTTTTTTAAGCAGTAATACATGAAAGTGCTTCTTATGCATTAATCAACTTAATATTTCCTTATTATGAGCTAGATACTATTATTTTCCAAGAGAGAGAAGAAAAAAACAGAGGCACAGAAAGGTTTAATATATTGGTCAGACTCACACAGCAGATATTATTTTCTTTCTAAAAGAACTTTTAAGAATATACTGTGTAATCGTAGTAGTATAACAAATTAAAAAAAAAACTTTTGTAGAATTTTATTTGCCATATAGATATGTAATGGTGTGAGCACTTAAGAATGAAATGTTTCTAGAATATCATTGCATAACCAGAGCCGTTTTTTAGCCACGTTTATTGAAAAGAACTGCTTTCCATTAGGAGAAGAGTGTGAGCAGCACCCCATTGTTACAAACATATTGTCCCCATCATTCCCTGCGGCTGGATCATGGGTCTCTTATTATAATATTGGTTCCACTTGGCCCACTTTTTCCCTAAATGCAGCTGCCTCGCGGAGCATGTGCGTTTGTACCATCATGTGGCTTGGTTTTAGGCCCAGATCAGTAAACGTTATAACGTTTAAGCGCCTCTGTTTCCTACTCTGTTTTATTCTTCTTTTCTAATGTCCTACCCCAAAATAAAAGTAGAATAATGAAATCAAAATGGAAAAAGCGACGGCTTTCTGTCCGAAGGTCAAATGAAGCGCAGAGCATGAGAAGCGCGGGGTGAGAGCGGCTCTGGCCTGAGCACGATGCCTGCGTGCCGCGGGGGAGGATGCACAGCCGGCGGCAGGTACTAGGAGCTGAAATCGGCCCGGAAGGTGATGCGCAAAATATAAGCAAACGCGTTCCCGGGGATGTCCGTGTTTCTGTGCTGCGAATTAGGCTTTTCAATTTTACTGTGAATAGTGTATGCCTGAGCGCGAACACGGACGGATGTGGCGCAGAAGGCCCGGCCTGTCTTTTGCAAACATCTACCTTAGACGGGGAAATGTCTCATACGCGGGACCTCATTTCCATCAGGCTCTTGACCAGCCATTAGTGTTCTTAGGGATGTTGGTGGGTGCAACATGGGGTGGGGAAAAAAAAAAAAAAGAGTGCACATTCTCTTTTTCCAGCACTGTCATTTCTCACTGTAATGAGCACAAAAAATAATTGGACAACTGAGCTATCAGGAAAAGGACACACTTCACTGTGCGTCAGAGAATTATTTTACAGGACAAACTTTAATCTTTAAATGTGATTGTAGATAATTTGTGGTACCATCTGTCCATTTGGAATTGTTTTAGCCTTTTCTGTCATTATACAGTAAGTGCCGCTGTGTTTAACATTAACATTTGATATTTTACACATTTAATTTCTGTTCTGCTGTGTGGTCCTTAGGGAGCGGAGCGCTAGTGCTACATGAGAGAGACACAGTATTGATCAGTTAACATTTCAGCTACGTTTATGTATGTCGCAAAATTAATGAAAATGCCAGACAAAAATGTCAGAGTGCACAAAAAGGTAGAATTTAAATTTGGTAGTTTAATGAAAAGTTTAAGATGTGCATTATCAAAAATGTCCCCTTGCCTTTAAAGTACAGTTCCTAACAGAATAACTACAGGGAGACACATATTTTACTTAGAGGAACAATGAACATGAATTATGAAGGGATGTCAACTCCTCAAAGCTCCTTGTGCTCCACCACGGTGCGTTTGAATGCTTTACTGTAACTCGTAAAATACATTTGTTTCTGTTCCTATCTGGAGGGCTGCTGACTTAATGTAACCCTCTATCCCGACGAACCCAAGAGGCAGGCTTCCTCCTGAGCTTCTCCTAGGTTTTCCTCGGTGTCCATGTATGTGTGTTCCTTTTGTGTCAAAACTGAGAATTCCCTCTCCAGCAATTCATCGAGGCCACTCTGGTTCATTACTCGTGCCTTTCTGGGGTCCTTTTCAAAGGCCTGGTTTTCCTTTGCTTCCAGATAATTTGTGTTCCACCTTCATTCAATCCCCATTTTAGTAAAGGATTGCACTCGGGACAGCTGAAAAGCTGGGCCATTATGCAGGAAAAGAGAGAAGAAAAAAAAAACAGAGATGATGTATGCAAAGAATGACACGAGGCAGCTCTGTGTAGCCAAATGATTTTTTAAAAATGGAGGAAGCACAAGCAGAGGAGGAGGAACTGACTTGCAGAGGCGATGGGATATAATATAACACTCTGAAGACAATAGGGCCCAACGATGCCTTATCAAGTACTTCCTGTGTGGAAAGCCTGCTGCTAGTAAACAACATATGAATTTTTCCAAAAGTTATTATAAACAATAAGCACATTTTAAGGGGCCTTCCTGTTCAGTGACTAAAAAGGGAGTATTGCTTAAGGAGCAATAACAGTGTGAAAACAAAGACATGCCTGTGTCACCTGTAGTTCCTGTCTTAGCATTAATATTGCTGAGCAATTTAGGGTGATTGTGCTACATATGGAAGGCAACCTTAGCCTTGCAATAGAAACTTCTATCTTAAAAATTTTAGCAACATCAATAATACCACACTAACAAAATTATGCTTCAAGTCCATAGCAATTTTCAAATGATTATAATGGAAATTTCTGGTGGTTGTTGCTGCAATTTTATTTTAGGGTTAGCAGAGAAACTGGAAATATTTCAGATGTAATTTTTGTTACTTTTTTG